TTTTTTTTGCCCCCCTTTTGGGTTCCCCCCAAAAAAAAAAAGGGGGAAAAAAAAAAAAAAGGGTACCCGGGTTGCCGGGTTCCCAAAGGGATTTGGCTTTTTTTAAAAGGGGGTTCCCAAGGGAGAAAAACCCAATCCGGGGGGCAAACCCCGAGGGGGGGGTTGGGGGGGGGGGGGGGGGGGGGTCTACTCATAGTCGTGCATGCCGTAGTCGTTTGACCATTGACCTCGCATCCCTACAAAGCCGGGACGGAGCACGCCGGGTTCTCACCGGACCAGGCTCTCACATCACCAAGCGCGAAGCGCCGTGAGGTATTTGGCGAGTCGCATGAAGGGTGAGCTGCATCCTGCTAAGGGTGTTCGGCATCTTGTGCTTACTTCCTTGCGTACGGATGACAGCTACGTATGACTTAATTTATTTTCTGGTGCTTTCACTTCCAGAGACAGTTGTAAGCACTGTGTAACTGCCTCGAGGAAGCTTGACCATTTTAACATAACGTGGTACGATCATCCCCCGTTGCGCGGAGTGAGGTTTCTCGACCCCGCACAACATGATCTACTCGACCACCATTATGGTTACCGCCAAAAAAAAAAACAGAGGCAAAACAAAAAAACGGTAACCTGGTTGCCGAGTTCACGAAGTGAATTGGCTTGTTTTACAACGTCGTTGCCAAGCGACGAAAACCCAATCCCGATGGCAAACACCGAGTGGGGGGCTTGTTTTACAACGTCGTTGCCAAGCGACGAAAACCCAACCCCGATGACAAACACCGGGGGGGGCGGCATGTTTTACAACGTCGTTGCCAAGCGACGAAAACCCAACCCCGATGGCAAACATCGGAGGGGGGGGTCAGCCGGGGGATGCTAAAAATGGGGAAGGGGGGTGCGCCAACGAAAGGGAGAACGGACCACCACAAGTCAAACGTGCGTTCAAAAAACATGCATTGCACATGCAGCGGATTGGAACGTCGGTACTCTTCTGCCGGTTAGGACTGTTGAGACAAGTTCGTTTCATGGCGCAGAGCACTGCTAGAGCGGACGACGCACACAATGAAGTGTTTCGCGGTGCCCTGTATCGAGTCTTCGACAGCAAAAGGTAGAGACGAAACGTTGTCTAGCATTGCGCCCGTTGGTACGAATCCTATTGACGACGTGGACACGTATTCGACAGCTAAACACTCTTGATGCGTAACGATGGTGGCCGAGCTTGGAAAAAAGATATGTACTGCTGTGCTCTTTTCTATTGTCGACGACTGTACGTCTTCCAGTTCCTGATTGAGATCTGTTCGATATCTTGTACTCCCATCGCATTACCTTCGCTTCGGCGCGGTCGATAACGCCCCTGATTCGGACACCGAGAAAGCAAACAAAGCATACCTGCAGATGCGTGCGCACAACACGACAGAAGTGTGGAACATTATAATAAGCATACAGTTGTAGATGTCGTAGCTATACCGCTGTCTTTGTTCCGGTGCTAGACCCGGCCAAACAAGTCGGGGCAAGGCTGTGAAGCGTGTGCGGGGTAGAGAGCGTAGAGGTAGGCGACAGTCGGTGCTGGTATTGACGCTCTCTGGTAGGGCCATGTTGCGAAGATGCAGAGATAATCAAACAGCCGTCCTTCAGGTCGGTTGATCAAAGGGAGTGTTTCCTTTGTTTCTTCGTCTTAGGGGTAAGAAGGTTCGCCAATGACCGAGAGTTTACGTCTGTTGACCGAGCACCTTCCTCCCGCTCCGCAATGTCCAAGTTTCCCCATTCCAATGTACATGCAGCAGCCGGTTGACCGTCCATGAGCTGCTCATAGGTCGCTTTGGGCTTCCGATGGGTGGTCCATATGTCTCCTTGAGCCGCTTACAGGGGATGCGCTGTTAGTCACCCCATGGGCTCCTTATGGGGTATCGATGAGCCACCCCTGTCGGTCAATGAGACTATCGAAACTGTTGCGGGTGTTGTTCCTGTTGCTTGATCACTTGTTGTCTCGTCTGGAATACTTGTCTCGTCTCGGTTCTGATAATAACAACCTGCACTCGAGGCTAATTTGAGGCAATAGGCTCACCGTGTTAGCCGCGGTGATAGCACCGACCGCGTCCATCAGCCTCAAGACAGCTGGAGCTCCGAAGAAGGCGAGTCCTGTTCCACCCACAGCTGCCACGGCTAGTGTAGCAGTGAACGCTACCCAAAGGAACAAGTGACGTTCCTCCGCCAACTTTTTCAATCTGACCTCTAGGCTATCCAAAGTCAGCACCTAAAAGTTCGTCAACGGCGCCCAGCAGGGGTATTATGTCATTCACAACTACATTAAAATCCAGTTGAAGGGGTGTGGCAAAGCCTCAGCGGTTACAATGTTTTGGGATAGAATGACGCATACTTTTTTCAGCACGTTGAGCGTTCGTTCCTACGTGGTGCCTCATACCCGTCAATACGACAGCATTGCACGACGTAGGTTGTATTTTAATTGTGAGCTGAATCGTCAACGGAATGATCTTCGTTTGACAGGTTTGCTTTCCGCCTAGTAGCTTGTAGTAAGCTCTCGTTCGCCCAACAGGCAGTTGCTGTAGGAAAAAAAAGTCGCCGTCTCCCTCAGAAAACACTTGCAGGAGATACACGGCATTCCCACCACCACGCCCTCTCCCGCACTTGCGATCTTGTCTGTGAATTCCCAGAAGCAGATGCGCTCATACGAGACTGTGAGTATGGCTCACCTGGGATGGTAGGCTATCCACCCAAATTTCGGTGACGCACACACATGGTGGAAAGCCCAACGGAATGGCCATGACCAACAGCATGGGAACAACCCGGCCGTTGAGATTGTTGCTCCAGCTTCGCTCAACGAAGATGGTACAGACGATGGCCAGAAAGGCGCTTGCGATGCTTTCGCAAAAGTCACCGAGGCCACAACCAACCGCGCAGCATGCGATACCACCACAGAAGAGGGAGCGAGGGATGGAGTTCTTCTAGTGACAACGCAGGCACTGTCATAAGCGGACTTGTGGATTGTGGCTGTGTATATGGATAAGGCTCCCGAGGCACATTTGCTAGGACCGGTGAGGCCAATTCAATAGTAGAGATAGACACCGGTCGCCTCCTCTCCCAGCCTTCCCTCCACTAGCTTGACGGCCCAGTCTCGTCGCCTCCCTTTTCTGATGTCACTCAACAGTGCCCGAGTCTCCTTCTTCATGTAGCAGCAACGGTGGTGCCCTTGGTTTCAATTGCTTGCAACGATGGTCATCAATTGTTGCCCTAGTGGGCGTGTTGCCGCCTGTCATGTATCTGCAGAACAGTTCGCCCATTCCTTCTGAAACGTCAAGTTGTCGATTCTTGTGTTGGTGTTGGATTCATTTCATTGTTTCTCTTTTTCGCAATCTGCACGACTCCTTGCGGTTGTGGACTAGATTCGCCCTCAGAAGGATTTCCCCCCCGGATTTATTCCCAGTAAACCGTACTTGAAAGCGATCCAGGTCGTGAGTAAACAAACTTAGGCTTCACCGTCGACGAGGGAAAGGGGCGTCTGTTCTCACGATAGAAACTGAGGCATGCGACACAGGGAGAACGGTGGGGCACCACACTATGTAAAATAAAATCATATTGAAAAAAGCTCCTGTGTGACCTTCCTTTTGTGTGACCCCCGACTGACACGTCAGGAATAAATACGCCGAAAGGCCTGAAAGCCAGCGCCAGAATAGATGGAACGAAAACACGCCGACGATGAAAGCAATCCAGAACGCACGCGCATCCAAATTAGTAGCAGCCTAGAGCAAACACGTGCAATCTTCTTCTGTTAATGCTACGGTATCTGTCTTTCATCCTTTGAGTAGCGTCGACTCCCCCACGACGCTCGGTCACAGGGTCCCAGATCGTGGCCTCTGTATTGCAGAAGCATTTTGTGTCTTCCGCCGCACTGAGACTTGCGTGTTTTCGTTGGTCAGCCGGTTGGCGTGGTCGATGCTATTGCTATTTGATTAAGAAATACTCACCAAAAAGCACACGCCAACACGAACTCGAGTGCATGGTAGCAGCCTTGGTAGACACGTGCAGTTTGTTCTGTTGCTACCGTTTCTGTCTTCAGTTCGGAGAGCCGCTTAGCGTCCCCCATGACCCCCCCCCTCTTCATGGCATTTAGATTTTGTGTCTTCAACCGCACTAGTAAGACTGATGTCTTTTCATTGGTCAGCCGGTTAGCGCGGTCGACGCTACAATAAGAATGTGACACAGAGACACGGCTTGAATTTGAGGGTCATGGCGTGCGCACCTTGCTGATACACAGAGCCTTAAGTGAAGGTTGGACCTTCTACTAGTACAGCCTCGAGTCCGCGCCGCCAGCAGCTTACAATGATGCACCACGTGCCACACAAAAAACAAGGTTCCAGCCCAGTGGACGATCGCAGCTGTTGAAAATATCAGTAGTTGCCCTCTCCGCAAGACACAGCTGGGGTCGCCGAAGATGTTTTGTGGTGCATACCCGACGTCACACAAGCAAAACGGAGGTAATCCATCGTTGCTCACACACACACCTCCTCCTCCCCATAGTGGGTGCTGGCAGTCAAAGACACAGCTCATCGGAAATTCGCTCTCCCTCCCTCTCGTTCGAAAGAAAAGTGAGATAGAGAATATCTCGCTGTTGATACCCTCCGCCGTGGTAGAGAGGGTACGGCGTTGTGTCGGTTCAGGCGCTGCAACACAAGTAGTTGGAAATGCGGCGAAACGAAGGTCGAGCTGCCGAACCGATACTTCGACTTCGACGACAGCAGCACCGAACCAATTTTTTATGAAACCCTACACACACACTATAGCTACGTGACATTGCGGTCAGAATAGGTTTCCAGTTGTACGTACAGTAGTTCTCGAGGCGTTATCTTGGACCTTAGAATATAACCGTCAGCGTGTTTTCTGCGTGCATAGACGACTGGACCGACTAGTGCAGGCCAATAGACAAGGACCAAGGGTACGGGTACGGTAGAGTGATGTGACGACCAAGGGCAGTTCTCAAGTATAATAATAAGGAGTATTGCCAAAATGCAAGGTACAGCATCATAGGCACGAGTTGAACCAATCGGCAAGATACAACACAATGGGCACGAGTTGAGCCAAAATCGGAGAGAAGAGTTAATAGGCAAAATTCAGGGTGGACGTAGTACAGTCGTCTCTGTAACGACATTTCTTTGAGGTAATGTATACATGCGTATGTATGTAGGACCGTCCGGAAGCTTGGAGCCTCGCACGCATGATCACTCTTTGCCTTCTACCTTCAGTTCGATCCGTCCAGAGTTGTGTGCAGAATCACCGAGAGTCAAAATAAGAGACGAACTCCTGAGGCCCTGAGGCAAAACACACAACAACAACACTTGAACGCCAGTCCATGCACACATCCAAGCTAGAACCCGCACAAGTGACGAGGAAAACTTGTACCAATGTAACTGTACTGTAGTTCTCCCCACACCATTTTGTATCATGGTTTGTGTAATCATGGGTTACTACTACTACTACGTGTGCAAGTACAGTAGCATACGCATAAACGACCAACGTATATTGTATGCAGCACTAATTAAAACCATTTTTTTATCTTCAAGTGAGTGTATAGTGCTCACCGCATCGTCTTCTCCAACTCACGCCAGCGGAGTTGTTATTATTGTGGCGCATGGGGAAATGAAGGCGGGACTTCAGTAGACTAGATTAGAGTATATCTATTTTTTCAGACCGGCGCGCCTCGTGTTGGTTCGCAACAGCAGAGCAGTAAAAGGAGCAGAATTCTACTGCTCTGCTGTGGGAGATTCGTGAATCTTTGGCAGTTGTAAGATCGCTGTCTGTCGTCGCATTTCTTCTCCAGTTCGTTCCTTTATATTTCATGTCTGAAGTCGATACTGCTGTGTGTTGTGATATTTATTGGTGTTGCGACGTGGGATGAAGAAGCTGGTGAGCGGATACACTTTACAACCGAACACCTGAAAGTTTCGCTCGAAACTCATCATGACGTGTTACATACAGAACGTTTGTCCACGCACAGTACAAAGAAAACGAAAAAAAAATTGTGCGCCCTTGAAGGTTGTATTTATAATTTAATCTACAGTCATTTTTACGCTGATAACACTCGTTCGTTGCTTTTCATCTATTAATAATTACTTGATGTTGCGCCTGACCTTTAAGGCCTGCAGACCATTAACCATTATTGCGTTTTTTACCTTTCACAGCGGTAGCATTATTCGCATCCGGTAGTCATCCGCCGGCGACAACCCCAACTAATGGTTGGGTTCAACTATCCGGAAAGTGATTGGAATCAAGTAATCACTCATCCAGATTCTGAGCCAGTAGTTGATTGGACTCAACTACCGTACAACACCCAAGATTCTGAGTCAGTAGTTGATCGTTGCTGATCGGAATCAACTAGAGTAGTCACCCAAGATTCTGAGTCAGTCAGTTAATCAACTATTACTATAGTCACCCAAGATTCTGAGCCAATATTAGGTAATTAGTTGCATGGAATCAACCACACACATGTAGTCACCCAAGACTATGAGCCAGTAGTTGGCCAAACAAATATATACCACTATCAGTATCATAGTTGTACAGGGTGCGTGCAAAAAATACGCGTCAGAACTTATGGCCTTGAAAAACGCTCCGATACAACACACAAGATAGCTGAGAAAATGTAAGGATAAATCGCGAATCTCACGCGTTTTTTTCGATCTGCATGAGTTTTAGACATGATCTGCTGTGCCCTTGCCGCGAGCCCCAAGCCTGTAGCATATAACACTCGGACCACAACATAGTAACAGCGAGTGCTTCCATCAAGTTGTGGGAAACCACCGCGTTTTCCTTTGAAGGAGTATTGAGGTTTTAGCACACGGCATGACACAGGGCTTTCTCCCCGCATTCTTGCGGTAGAACAAGAAAGCAGAGTCACGAAGGAGGTGTTTCGACTCATATATCTCACGTGCATCCATTTCCGACGTCCGTTCTTTCTCCGAGAGAAAAAAGAAAGGTGGACGTGCATGCTACTGTAAGCCTAGTGATCTGCAGGTTTCCTCAAACCCGTTAGTACCAAAACATCGCGCTTCGAGCGCGCAACCATCTCGAGCGGACAAATAGTCTTCCCTTGATGGTACGTTTTTCGGATGAAAAGAGGACAAGAAACGAAAATACAAGGCAAAGATCGTGTTGTTGTCTTCTGTCAGGCGGTGAGACCCAATTCCCTTGACAACGCAAGGTGCCCGAAGTCGCACCTGCAGAGGATTTCTGAGCCACCTGTCGGACGATTGCCATCCGAGAACCCCGGCCGTCCGATCTAGAGCCACAAACTTGTTCAGAGTCTACAACGTGACAACAGCAAGCAGGACGGCCAACAGCGTGCCTGTCTCCACATGTTTGGATGCCGAAGGCAGCAACGCCTTGGGCTGCAATGGGCGTGATGTGTGCGGTCACGATGGTCTGCTCGGCGCATTTTGGCGCAGGTTGAGAAGCACTTACGACACCTTCGCGCGAAGTTACCACTTCTTTTGTCTTCGCCGGATTGGCGTTATTTGACAATGGCGAACTCGGTGCTTCTGAGCGTATTTCTGACGCTGGAGGTGCATGGTATACCGTGTTACATTTCCTTCAGGTCGTCCTACTCACGTGAGTGAGCGAATCCCGCGCACTTGAAATATTGACGGATGGGATGCTCCAGCTTTGCCAGTGCCACCGGTGGGCACATCCTCTGCCGCTGTGTTCAACTTCGACTAAACGCTTACTCGTATTTCTCCCTAGCTCGTTGACCTTTCACCTTTTCCGTAGCTGGTGTTCTGTGGAGAGG